CACACACACACACACACACACACACACACACACACACACACACACACACACTAACCATAGCCTGCTGTGATTGGTAAGGTGCCCCCGGTGTGGATTTGCTGTTGCGATCCACCACAGTGCAGAAGCACCTGTCATGTGTTTCCCTGGACAGCCCTCTGATTAAAAGTGATGGCTCTGGAGCGTGAGGCTGTTCCAGCGATCAGAGCACCAATCTATTCTTCAGCAGCGTGTAGACTTTGGGCTCTGGACTGCCTAAGCGCCTCCAGGGCCTTCTCTCCTGGAACCAGCTCTGGGTGTGAATCATTACAAATGATATGCCCTGCAACATCAGTAGGAAGATGGCTGGGGAAGGATGCAGGGGCAGGGGATTGCAGGTTGAGAATGGTTTTAATGTGAGTGGTGCCGCTTGTCATGTTGGATGCTAGAAAGCAAGAGGCTGCAGTCAATCCGGGGTCTTATAGAAGCAGCGGCGGGGCAGATCTAGTATGGCAAGTGTTGTGTTGGTTGCAACACTGCTGGGAAAGTATTACAGAAGGCACCGGTGAAGCCGGTGTAATTTCTGTGGGGACGTCCAGATTTTTACTACGTAGAAGCGCATCGAGTTAATGAAGCTTCAGACACAGAAAATTAGCAAAGAAATGAATTGCACCACCAAAGTGAGGTCAATTTGCATGGATAAATCCATGAAGAACGGTGGAGTGAATCATTGGAACAGCTCTGCTTGCACTGATGAGCAGGTTAATTGCCCATTTTGTTTATTGTGAGGAAGATGCCTGAAACCAATTTCCCCCAGACGCATATCCCAACCTTATGAGCTGGAAAAAGATCAACTATGGAAAAGATTATTTTAGCTGACTGATACAAGGAACTTGGTAATGAAGATGACACAGAGGCTCTCATCAAGAAAGCAGATCCCAGTTCCCGAACGGGGGCCACATTTTCAACTATGCCAGGTATAGAGAGATACCATCATCGGCATCAAAACAAGGCTGCAGCCTTGCCCGCGGCCCAGAACCCTTCACAGCCGAGCACAATGACGCCGGCTGCTTACTGCAAATGCATTTTAATAGCGTCTCTTCAGATGATCCAGAAGCCAGATGTCACTAAGTTTCCAGAGGCTAGTTCTGGTCACTGTGGCAATTACCTTTATGTCAGGCCTCTAAAAGATATGTCTACCCACGGGACAAGCAGGCAGCCAGCACCATAATGCTCATTACAGATGAACGTCGAGGCTGATTCATCTTGACTCAATGTGTAGCTCGCTGCTGCCCAGACCACTGTCAGTTTATAAGTTCCACTCATACCTCTGGATAGTATTGATTGACACAACATTGAATGAAATATACAGTACATGTGGCTTAACAACGGAGCCTTTACAAATGATCGTTGAACTATACTAGGGACATTTGTGCACAAAAATAGCAATAAAAACATGAACAATTAGCAGCAAATTAAAGTCAGTCAGTTTTACACCGATACATAAGTGGAAATACAACATGTTCACGAAAAGAAGCAGACAATCTAATCTTAAAGGAGAATCAGAGCCCATACCACCCAACTACAATTGTTACTTATCAGACATAAATGCTGATACCAATACATCTTGGATTGTGTGTCCAAGATCTCCTGATTTTTTTGTTATACAAGGTGGATATCTACTAAAATGACTGACATCATTTATAGGTCACCCACCTTTATGTTTACTGCTGTGTCCCTACTCTTTTATGAGCCACATATACCTTTGACTGCCGTAGTATATAGATGTAATATCTCAGGTTGGGGGTGTAAAGTTTGTGCACCTCTCTGGGTTTCTGCTCAGAACGTACAGGAAGAGGAAGAAGCTAAACCACACAGACAGATATCCGCAGCGTTTGCCACCAGTCACTTTGCCGAGTGCTGTTGAAATGAGGTCTGGTGTTTTCAGCTCCATAAGTCTGCAGTTATTATCATAATAATGTCTTGTTTCAAGTCGCCCCGTAACGCCTCTAGCACAGCAGCAGCACCGATTAAGAAATCTTAATTAAGCTTTTGTAGATTGTCCTTCATCAGACCTTGCCTCTTTTTTGCTTTTTCCCACAGCGTCTTGGTGTACAAAAACTCTAAATTCCTTTAGTCTGTTTTTAAGAGACTCCACTTCTGCGTAAATGAACGAGGTGTGCTAGTGTGTGTGTGTGTGCCGTTGCTGCGTGTGTGCAGGGAGACAGAAACCAAAGCCTATGTGTCAGTGCGAGCTTTTAAGTTCCCAGTGCTTCATCTCTCTCGGGGCATATAAGTATTAGATATCCCTCTGCTGATCCCCTTGTTGTCACAGCAATTTCCCCAGTTGCTCATCATGCTTAAACTCCTCTCTCATTTCCATTATAATCATCCCATACAAAGCTCACCTGAGATTTACACTGAAAGACAAAATTTGGTTTCACCTCTTTAAGCTGCACAGCATGACACCCAATATGTAATGGATATAACAGCTCGGGTTGGTGGGGAGACGAGTGTTACAACCTGCTTGTTCACAGCAGTGAAGAAATGTTGGGAGCCCGCAGTCCCACAGATTTTATGTCTGTTATTGTGATGCTGTAAGAGTCAAATCAAATCAAGAGCTGAGCTCACATGAGGTCTTACTAAGTGGCAGTATCAGTGAGGGAATATTGCCACTGGAATTGGTTGATTAAATGACTGCGGAGGTGATGAGCTACACTGAGGGACATTCTTACAGTGTTGCCTCATTCATCCATGTTTACGGGGAGCAAGTGTCTTAATTAAGCATTGTGAGGGCTGATAGATGGGTCAGGCTCACTCTCCGTGGGAGATACATTGATTTCACATTACATATCCAGATGGTCGAGCCATTACGCCCTGATTGCTAGTACATTAAGGTGTTACTCCGGTCTGGGACATAAGCAGTCCAGTACAGAAAAGCTCTAATTATAAGGTCCACAGTTGCACAACATTAGATGCATGGAGCCCTTTTTACATGTCGAACAGAAAGCTTTATAGGAATGTGAGTGTGACAAAAACAAATTGTAGCAGACAGACCTAGTTTGTTGGCATTGTACACATGTGCCTCAGTTAGGCTTAAAGCAAAATTATAATTAGTCTGGAAGTAGTGTGCAGCAGCACAGTGAGAATTCAAACAGCCGCTGCTCAGTGCTTTCAACATCTGCTTCTCTCAGTGATCCCTACAACGGGGCCTGGGGAAAGCCGGCACTACTAATTACTAATAAAACTAGCTTAGCTTATTGCCGTGAATTATTTAAGCTTTATCTGAAGTGGACCAGGAACTGCTCCTGAAGCTAAAAGGCTTTTGGGCACAAGGAAGGGATCACAGTTCATTGCTGCATCTGGATTAGCACTCAGCACGTACTTTACCATAGCCTGTGTTGTTGTTGGGAACCATTACAAGCTCTAGTTCATATGCATGGGGCATCTAAGAATAGCACCGCCGATGCGAAACCCGCTCACAGTCCAGGGGATTTGCATTGTCATGTAATCCGACAAGTCCTCCTAAAATATTAGAAGCTTTATGTAAATATGAGCCAAACGGAAGTTTATCGCTTCATCCAAAATGATTCCCTTATACTGGTGTGCATTTCTTTGATTTGATGAGATTTTTGATGCTACTAGTGTGGATTCTTGATTCATGCATTACAGTTACTATTAATGCCATTTTAGTGTGCTTATCTACTGGAACTGCAATAGTTGTGGGTAATACTTGAGAAACAATGTTGTTTATTTAACACATCTCTGTCTAAATTCAGACTCATTTGACCAACCTCACTCCTTTCTCTTTCATCTTGGTTGTTGAGAAGGAATGCCCACTCTGTACACAACACAGGCCTGCCAGCATCTTCGGCCACCACACACACACACACACATACACACACACACACACACACACACACACACACACACACACACACACAAAGCATCCTTAACATTGTATAAACAAGGGATTGTTTACTTACATCTAAGACAACAGGTCGTTTGGTTTGATAAGTGTTGGAGTTGGTCCACTAGCTTAAAAAGAAAATTGTTGGTTGAAGTTGTGTATTTGATTAATGTCAGATAATTACAAAACTGACAAGTGAGGCTCATTGTGTATAATCTGTTGTTTAAACGTTGTTTACTGTGCCGTACATTGTGAAGACCTCAAGCTTCAAATTTACCCCGTAGACATGATTATCATTCTTGATCATCTAACTCTCTGCAAGAAAGTAAATAAGCGTTTTTCCTTTGTAAAGATTGCGTTGTTGATAATATTCTGTATATGTATTAGTAGAACAAAATGAATTGTATTTGTGTTGGAAGCAGTTATAAACATTGGTCATATCTATGTTCAGATGTATTTTGATAAGCAGTTGAATTCTGTTTTTGCCATTACTGAGTTAAGTGAGTAATCACATGTAATGCCATTTGTCCCTGCATCTAGTGTTTGGTAGGCAGGAGTCTAAAGGATTGACACTGCCCATGTAACCACATTTGACAATGAGTGAATTACAACAGTGAATTTATGCTTTTTTGCTTTGGTTTAAGGTACGGCAATATATATTATTGTGCCAAGAAATCGTATTTTCTTTTCAACAAAAAGCCATTTTTTTCAAGGAGTGAGCACTCCTGTCTTATTGAAGTGCCTGCATCTGTTTGAAGCTGTTGTTAAGCTTTAGTTTACCAAACAAAATGTTTCCCAAGGGTACCTTTGCTGTAGTTCAGCACTTCCTAAAGTAAATCTTAACATGTGTGACAAACAGGTGGCTCCATGCACATTGTGGGATTTTTTTGGCTTTCCCTTTTCAGTGCTGAAGTGCTGTTTTCTTTATCCTTAGTGCTGAACTGCTGCTGTTTCATTTTTACAGCTCAATCAACACAGATCAGTTGTCAATCAGTGTTGAATTCACTTGGATTTTCTGTTATATGTCTGGCCTGTAAAATGTATCACTTTTTCAAAAAGGTATTATGTCACTTAATGCTGTTTTTCTGTCTACCTTTGCTGTGCTTTTCTGAAGGTCACATGCAGGAAAGAAAACGGAGGAGCCACAGAGCTCATCGAGTGGGGCGACAGTGATAACGAACAGAAGATTTCTCCCGAGGGGGCCAGTCCACGGATCCTCAACCCCCTGCGTTTATTTGCCAGGGGGTCCCCCGGGTTCAAGAGCAACATGAGGGAAATTACATATTTACAGAACATGGAGGACTTTTGGGACTGGTTATCTAACCAGACAGATGCTCAGGGTGCACAGGCCAGAACTAAACGCAGGCCCATCGTCAAGACTGGCAAGTTCAAAAAGATGTTCGGCTGGGGGGACTTCCACTCCAACATCAAGACCGTTAAACTCAACCTGCTGATCACGGGGAAGATCGTGGACCACGGGAACGGCACTTTTAGCGTTTACTTCCGCCACAACTCCACGGGCATGGGGAACGTGTCGGTCAGCCTGGTGCCGCCCTCCAAGGTGGTGGAGTTTGAGATCGCCCAGCAGTCCACGCTGGAGACCAAAGACACCAAATCGTTCAACTGTCGCATCGAGTACGAGAAGACGGACCGCAACAAGAAGACTGCCATGTGCAGCTTTGAGCCGACCAAGGTGTGCTATCAGGAGCAGACGCAGAGCCATGTGTCCTGGCTGTGCTCGAAACCCTTCAAAGTCATATGCATCTATATAGCCTTTTACAGTGTAGACTATAAACTGGTGCAGAAGGTATGCCCTGACTACAACTATCATAGTGACACACCCTACTCCTCCACAGGATGATCTAGCTTTTAGTATGCGTCTACCTACTGTCTAATCTTCAAATAATGTAAATGTCGACCTCTAAGCTCCTTGTCCCGCAATACCTAAGTACCTGAGACACGTTGCAGGAAGTGCTGTTTATAATGGGACACACTCTGGAGGGATTTGATGCATTGTTAAAAAAAAAAATAAAGTAAAATGTATATATAGTACACTTGAGATAGTTAGGTGTCCAGGGACTTGGTTTTAGGGGTTGACTTGGGATTCGGAGCTAGCTACCAACCCTGTGTGACTCCTCCCTAAAACAGCGGCACATGTTCTCCGTAAACCACTGGTATAATTAGCATGTTGTCCAGATGTTTTGTTCAAGGCTAGACCATAGGCAAGGAGCCTCCCAGTTGGGAGTACAGAGCTGGCTTCTGTGCCAGTGCTACATTGATGCCAACATTGTCAAACAATTTCCTCACCTCATTTAATTAAACAGTTGAAATATGACAAGACTTTAAATCATTTTAATAATTACAATACAGAGACATTTGAATTGTTATTCAATAGAATGTTGAATTAGATATTTCACATTTGAAACATTGCTACATTTTGACTGATTAGTGAGAAAATTCATTTCATTGCCTTTAAAATAGAACTAACATCCATTTGTACCCGTTAACAGAACACAGACACAGACACAGTGTCTATTGTTACAGGTTAGCTTGATCAATGGGTATTCCCTCAAGTAGCTCTGAATAATTAATATGGATTTAAAACCTATATTTCATCTCCTTATCTTTATAGGGACTGGAATAGTGAATTGATTGATTATGTGCCCAATACCCATGACAAAATTAATTGATCCAACACAACTATTCCCACAAGCAAGCAGAGGGCATAGTCGTAAATCATCACACATACGTATATACTGTAGGTATCCAGCCATGTATAACCTGGCTGCTGCCTTGTGTACTTCTTATTGGTTTTCTGCTGCAATCATAAGGCATGTGGATGCTAAACTAGTCTGAAATCCAACATCTGTGTTTGCAGGATGCACTTTGAGGCATCAGCCTGCCGAGAGGGTCCCGCAGTGGATTAATGTGTCAGGAGAGGAGGGGGGGGTGGGTGGGGGGGGAGCGATAATTGCAGGACAGGTGGATTTAGTGAGTCTGGCAGACAATTATCAGCACTTTGTCATGGTCCTGCCACCAGCCCTGACATTACCTGTCTTTAATAGGCTTTAATTAGCCTGGGAAATTTCATTTACCCAAGACCAAGAGTGGAGAAACCAAAAGCGAAAAAAAAAAAAAAAAAAAAAAAAAAAAAAAAAAAAAAGGTGGAAATACAAAATCCGTCTGGAGTTTTAATGAGAAGTGGGAGCTACATTTGAAAATGTCATACATTTCCCAATTGCACAGCAGGCTTAAATTGACTGACTTTTGTGTAAAAGTGGGTAACATCCAGTCTTGTAAATGGTGAAATGTGCTTTGACTTCAACCATCATCACATGAAATTTCATAAATTGTGTTGATTGCGTATATCCAGGGTTCTTAGACTAGGGCATGTGCCACTGACTAATCACATGGCAATTATTTCTGTCCATATTACTTTATTTGCTGTATTTCATGTCTTTCCCCGTCAGCTGTAAATGATCCTGTCACATTCTACACGAGAGGTGTATGTACGATAAGGACATTACTGAATCACAGTTGATCTATGTTGATGTTTTAGTTCTACTCCCTTTGTGCAAATGCTGTGTATTAATGTGTAACTCTAAAACTAAACATGTTTACTTATGACTTCAGAGTAAACAATGTCAATTTATTCTGATTTTTCCAGAGAAATGTATCAATAAGTATACTTGTTCCTTACTTTTGGTGTTTGTTAAGCAATATCATGTAGTTATATGTCATATTTATTGCTTGTAGTTATAGATTGCTTTGATTTCCATTTTTGTAATCCTTGCAGATTGTGCCTATTTTGATTTCCTGCTTGCTTATTAATCTTGTTTCAACGGTTTCCCCCTGTAAAATAGAAGGGAAAAAAAAGAAGAGCATTGCTGTGTGCATAGTGTAAGTACAAATGTTCATTTGGGAATAATTGATTTCATAGGGGGTTCATTTTGTTAAAATGAAATTGTAAAGATCAATTTAGGTTTCTATGGCATTAAACCTTATTTGAACTTGGCTCACAGCATGTTGTCGCACTGAGTCAGCTCCAGTCTGTCGGCGCTCACGGTTGTCTCCTTTCATTCCTACAAGGACTTCTCAACGGGATAAACACACCATTTTAAGAGGTACATTTCAGTGTAGCTTTTTAATGGGCAATAAATCTGTGTCCACAGGCGTGGATGATACCAGAGGTACACTTCAGGGAGCACATCCATTTTGTTGTGGCCATCAGTGACAGGGGTCTTTTCATCGCTTCCATTACTCTTATCTGATCAGGGTGAAAGGCACCCACTCCTCAGGCATCAAGTCACACCGGGTTTTCCTGCTGCACACATCCTGATCCTTGGAAAACTCAGGAATGTTCACGTATATTTCATCAGTGGTGATATTATCGCACACTCAAATAATAAATTACTTTACATTTTTTAGCTGCATGTTGACAGTTCAAACCAATAATTAAAAAAAAAAAAAAGATGTATATTCTCATACAATTTACTAAGAGGAAAATATCCATTGAATAAGTCCATTGTAAGTCTCAGTACTGTTCAAACCAATACTACTTTGTCACATATATACTTTAGAGCAGCAGGGTTACAGTGTACTTCATCAGCGGTACCTGTAAGGTTTCCTGCATCTCTGGACTGACAGTCATCAGACAACATTTATTGGAATGGCAAAAAACGCACATTTCCTGGAACACAGAAACAAGACATGTTGCATTTGAAGATGTTAATGAGCTGAAGAGTTCATCACAAAATACCTCCTGGGATGCATTGAGATTAATAGTGTTTCTTTTGTCACTTATTTATGGTGGCAATGGTTGTGTCCACTATATCAGACCGGTCTGCTGCAGATTCACATTATTTGGACTCACATGACACATAGAAATTGACCAATTTTATCAAGCCCGTATTCATATTAATCTGTCTAAAGCCTGGCCCCGTTTCATTGTCCACTGCCTGTTTAACAATCTCATTTCCTACGACGGAACAAATTTTCAATTGTGCCGATGCCACTGCGGGCAGGCGTTGTCTTTCAAGTGTAACAGCCAGTGGAGGAAAGCGAAAAGAGGAAGATAAAAGGTTGGAGAGGCGTCCTAAAGCATCGATGGTATCAGGTCTCCTCCTAGGATTCTGTGCTGAGAGGGGCGGACGAGGATCAGCAAGCTGCTGATGAAGAAGTCTCTGTTCCAGCAGGAAAGAGCAGCCTCGTGTTCACGTTAATTAGAGCTTGTGCCGAGCATTCACACATAGAAGAAGAAAAAAAAAAAACGTCGTTCATGTGGCGTAAAAAGGTTCGACATTAAACATGTTACTATGCTCCGGTTTAAGAACATTTTCTTTTGATTATCACGGTGCTGTTTTCTAATCTCATCATTAAAAGAAAACCAGTGGACAGAGAAAAAAAAAAAAAAAAAAAAAAAAACTAAATCACCTCAGCCTGACACTCATCCATAAACATGACCATTAAAAGGAAACCGTATGGATTATAATCACCCTTCCTTCGACTGACATCTCTTGTCACATTGATTTAAAACAAAAAAAAAAAAAAACCTGGGCTTCTTCAGACTGCTGGAAAATGGTTTAATGGGTTAATGCAGGCATTCTTGCAGACCACAACTTCGTCTTTTCTGCTTCCAAACAAAAAGAAGTTTCAACATCTCAACATGACTCTGAATGATGAGCAATATCATGTAAAAACGATGCTACTCTTTTAATTTACAAAATCCTCTGAAGTGTCGGTCACACCACACTACATACGAGACGGACTGAATAAACATGACAACCCCCAACCCCCCCCCCCATTCAAACACAGAATAACATTGCCAGTAGAAGTGATGCTCAGCATCCTACGAATGTCCAAAGCATGTCAGAGGATATTCTTTTTGCACATACTCAAATTCATTTCATTCTGCACAAATGTGTCAGATAATTGCAGAAAATAAAACTGTTAAAAAACAAAATTGGTACTTGGACACTTTCGTTGACAATAACATGACCATGCATTAGTCTCTCCACTTTTAGTTACCACAATATATTGAGAATATATAATATTTGCAAGTTGGCAGTACTAAAGACAGAAATTCTCAAAAATTTAATCTAGAACAGTTCACAGACGTATGATCTGGAATATGTCATTCAAATGGGAGACGGGAGTAAATACTTCCAATGTTTTAATATAGCAGGGCCAAAGTAGAGACACTTTTCTGTCTTACGTGAATTGGAAGGACTGACGCTGGGTCTTCATAATGGCAGATTACAATTTTTTCCCCACAAATATGCAATAGAACAGACTTTCTTGTACACTGGTCTTCTGAAGATGGTTCAACTGTCATTTACATAGAAATGGTGCCATCAATATGGGGCATACACATTTTAAAAAGTGTAAAGAACTGACCTTGCACTGAAAGTGTTCATGCTTTTTAATGTCTAGTCACAAAACGGGCTAAACATTACAAATATATAATATTTCCCATTTAGTTAAACCTTTGTTACGTTCCTATAGAACTCCATATCAAAATGACTATTCATGGGAACTAGTGCAACCTGGAGGTGGCCTGGTCTTTGTGACAAGGCAGGCACAGAGTAAAATAGACAAAGTACTCTGGAGCAGCTCCAGAGCAATGGCAGATATATTAAGGCCATTTTTAAAATTACAGGAGAAAAAAAAACAAAAAAAAAAAAAAACAGTAGCAGACAGCTTGTCTTGCTACCCGGGCTGAAACGGAATTCAGTTGGGGCAGCAAAGCAAGCAAGCGACACCAATTTTACCAATTTTTTCTTTCCCCCAATCCATTGATGTCCGCGTGCCAGCCTCCCCCAAAATCCCTGGCCAGAAAGCTCCACTCTTCGTTTATTCAAGTGTGTTCAGTTTTGGTGGAAATAAAAGAGTGGTATCCTCACTAGTCCGTCCTTTGTAAACCCACGCTTCACACCTCCAGTAAAGTCCCGGGGCACAGTCAGGCAGTCAGGACTGTTTTAGACGCTTCCTGGGAAGACCAAAGGGTGGGCACTGTGCTGACGCCAGGGCACGAAAGGCCTCGGCTACCAAGTGAGGATGGGATTGGATCATTGACTTCCAGCCTGCAGTCTCCATTATGTCTGTAGCATGACTGTAAGCACAGGCGAAATGAAGTTAACGCTAAGACATGAAAATGTGCACATTAAAAATCAATAAACATAAATGAGATCGTAATGACGAATCAAATAAGGGGGCACTTGATTTGCGAGTTGCACGGTAAACTTGGGGGGGGGGGGAAGGGGCCATTAGTGCTTTCTGTGCAAAACACGTCAACAAACATGGAAATAAGTTCAACATTTCAACGTGTCCCATGACAACACACTATATCATCTGGATGAAAAAAATAATCCCATAGCGACCACCTCCCTTTTTTTCTTTTTTTTTTTAAATTCTGCAAATATTTCCAGGGTTTATCCAGGTATGAGTCTATTAATAACTTGGATACAAAGATATGGAGCTTCAAACTGAAGAGGCAAATAGCACTCCGTCTGCCTGGGCTAAAACAATGAATTCTAATGCATCTGGTTTGGGGGAAGAGATAAGAGGGTGTTATTAATCTCGTGTCACATATATCAGCTAATTACATACTTGCTATTCCAGTTCTTTCCATCTTTACAGCCCAGCTGTCTCAGGACACTGCACCTATGGCAAGGAGATAAAAAGGTAAGCATTCAGGGCGGGTAAACAGAAATGGCAGCAGGAATTTATCACTCGAGGTTTGTTGTTTGTTTTTTTTTGCGATACTTGCCTGTTGATAAAATCTATGGCTTGTGCTTTGAGCTGCTCGGCGCTGTGCAAGTCTGCTAGGATGAGGGTGTCGGCCACATTCTCCACGGAAAGGCTGTTGCACAAGGCCTCTTCACACATGACCTTTAAACGCTCCAGAGCGTACTGGGATGGGGGGGATGGGGGACAAAAAGCTGTGTTTACGGCCTGGATGCAAAGTGGTTCCCCATGGTCTGAGGTTTTGTCTCAACTCTTCTGAATACACATTAAAGCTACAGCTGCGATCGGTTCAACTCTACTAGAAAGAGAGAAAAAGCAGGTTCCTTTAATTTGTACTGCGATCTTAAAAACCCAGGAACTACCGTATTTCACCACACGGTCTATGTGATGCATCAGTGAAGCAATGATGGGGATGATTTTGGAGGGGGAAGTAAGGTTGTTGCTCAATATTCTGGTTCACTATATTCAGTAAACACCAGTCCATCAAATTTAAGTTGAGTGCGATATTCATGATACAGATAACTTGCCCTAAAACAGGGGAACTCAGCTGTGAACCGATGAAGGAAAATGATCGTGTCTAGAAAGGATTTGGGAGATCATAGGGTGCTTCATAGTACAGTCCCAAGAAATACTGCTTTGCATATATTTAAAGCTGCACTTATCAGAAATGCAAAATGTGCACATCAACTGGCAACATGGACGACAATCCAAACAGGGACTGAACAGCGAATCAAGTCTGCCTCTTGGAGATCATGTGTTATGTTGTACTGTGCCATCTAATGTTGTAATACTCAAAATACTGCATCGAGTGAAGAGTTTTCTCTCGTCATTAAGTATGTTTCCATACCGCCAAGAACGTCTTCCTATTTCAGGAACACGTTTGTTACCAATGGCCTGCATCGAGTAGAAACCACGTCACTTATTACGTCCTCAATCATCTCTGTTAACTTGAATCAGCAATTACTTGACAGTCTCCCCAGATTTTGAATTACAAGCTCCACAAACATACAGAGGTGTGTGTGTTGAAGAGCGTATTGGATTCTACATTTCTCACACCCTGTACAAGAGTGCTCTAATGCTGGGTGGGGATGGGAGGGGGGCTGAAGCGGACTAGATTTTTTTTATAGGTTATCAATAATGGAATTATGTCGGATAAGATGCAGCCTAACAGCGGCGTGATTACACAACAGACCACATTACCCTTTTAGCCTCATTGACCGACACACAATGCTGGCCTCTCAGCTCATTGGAGGCTCCAAACACACCATTGGAGGAACACTGGTACATGACCATGTCCCAGTGATGTGTTGGCTGGAGCTCAGCTCAACACGGGATTTATCAGGTAACAATATTTGCATTTACCCGACAGACCGAAGCAACGCGTACAGTTGAAAGAAAACGATTGGCCAAACAAAGCAAAAAATAAAAAGGAAGCTTTTCCTCTGCCATCAAAACCAAGTGGAAGGCAGATGTTTGTACAAATATTAGCAGAAGTTTTCAATTACTACTTACTTTATCTGCAGCTGCCAGCAAATTGTCTGCCATCTTCTCCAGGTTTGGGGCTTTTCCCGTATAAATGAAGCCCATCATTTCCTTAAAGACATCTGGGTCTACGTCACTGATGTCAACACGGTTCTGCAAGAGAAGACAAAGAGGTTTCTGTGCGACTCATTTCAACTTGGCTACTAACAAATATTCCAGAAAAGAAGCAATAATTGATGTACATGTAGGAGGTGCAGCGTAACATGACTCATAACAAACAAGCAGTTGTAATTAGTTGTTCTTACCTTTTTACTCTCCTCCATTTCATGTTCAAACATAGCATTAAAGACTGGTGACCTCGCTGTCGAAGAAATACATAGAACACAATCAAATAAATATATCGAGCAGTCGACATCTTATTAAGCACGTTAGCACACCAAATCAACATTGTGTGACAAATGGAAGCTTTGAGAATGAGCGCTAGATATATATATTTAATGGATTAAGCACAAAACCTCAGTATTGAACTATGACAGTCTTAGAAGCTAAATCCATAGAGCTCCACTTTGTCAGCGTTTCTCCACCGTGTCTAATGGAGAGAAGCTGGAGAGGAGAGCCAGCGTCTCAATCTCCTGGATTCTACAGTCATCTGGGTCAAGCAGGGCCAAGCAGAGGTAGTGGGGGATTAGAGCCCACTGCAGAACTGGGCCGCTACAAATCAAGTTGGGATACAGGCCCGCCGTAGCCTTTTGAGGTACTTAAGAAAGGGGCATGGGCATGTCTTGCTAGGGCCATTTTAAAAATGCTTCTCTCCTGGTTTAATACTTGCTAAAGTGTTTTGGTAGCTGGGGACGGTCTTACCTGCAAGGATGGATTTGTGGGCTTTGAACTCCTGCCCTCCCACATAGAGACTGCAGTCTGTGAAGCGTGAACACTCCCACAGGTTCCCCAGGTCATCAGACAGCTGACACTCTGGCACCTTCAGCATGTTCATGTTGGACTGGCCCGAAATGTTAACTGAGTCCTGGACAACGCTTACCTGTACGTGAGAAACATCAGTGAGAGGACGGTCTCAACAAAGCTAAACATCTGGTCAAATCCAGCGGCGAATGGTGTTACTGCACCGGGAGAACCGCCTAATTTTGTTTTTAATTTGCTCCTTTTCAAGCACATTTTCAAGATTGAGGAACCTACAATGGGAGGGACTCTGAACACTTGAAAACCAAAATTAATTAACTTTGCTGAATCACCTAATTGCTGAGGAAAGGCATTTTGTCTTTAATTTGGAAGCAATTTGTTTATCAAAGTGGCAATTTCCCTGAAATTGTTGAATCTCTGCAAGTGCTGTCTGGCACGCTGCCGGGTCCTGGCAGTATTTGGGCCAAATGCATTTACATCAAAATCCATTGACACTTCATTTCACTTGTCCATTGAAAGAACATTTCAGGAGGCATTTATTCTTCCTGACAAACTGAATTCAATTATTTTGAAAAGCAAGCAAGGTGGAGGAGGCATTTCACTTCCTCAGAGCTTAATGTCATTTGAAGCAAATGCCAACGGTATACGTTTGTAGTTTAAATGGCACGACGGCTTACACTCAGGGGTGAACTGATCACAACAAGAATTAAGAGACTCCGGCCTAGATTCAAATAAGGTTACACTCGGGGTATGATATTTAAATCCAACGGTGATTTTTGATGCTTTCATCGAAAAATCAATGCAACGATTCAGTAATTTGTTTGCCGCATCAAACACGACAGAACCTCAGCAACAGTGTGCACGTGTGGCTCTGTGATATCATTTTGCCATGTTGGTCAATTTACAGCACACGTGAAGAGAAAGACGGCACCCTTTATTAATTAAAGAATGAATAGAAAGCAAAAGTAGAATTACCTCACAGAACAGGGTGAGCTTGTCATCTGGTAAGAGTCCATTGGCTTCATCAAGGAGGAAATCTCTCCTTATGAATTTTTTGAAGCCCCAGTCTTTGCCTTGGACAAATCTATATGCTCTTTGGCTTTCTGTGACGAGTAAAAAAAAATAATAATGCAGAGTTGATTGTGCCAAAAAAAGGTTAGGGATGAAAGGAATACTAAATGTTCAGTTCAACGGATGTGGTGAGGTTCTGATTGGCCGTACTCACCCATCGCTTTTGTCTCTTCTCTTTTAGCGTTCAACAAAGAAAACTTGAACTTTGCTCTGACTTCACTTTTTGGACAACTAACAAGAAGTAAATACAATGACAGATAATCTTTGCTTTCATCATCAAGTCCCTTAGGATTGACTCGCAGACACCTGGCAAGAAGAAAAAAAAAAAAAAAAAAAAAAAAAAAAAAAAAGAGAACACGGCACATCAGCAAACTAGAACGGAGACAGACTTAACGGCTTTTGTCACTTTTGTGAGAACACAAGACGACGATGACGAGCCTTCGGGGGTGATTCTCGCTTGCTGTGAGAGACTGTAATTATCACTTGTGTGCAAAAGTTCCCAAAGTAAAAGTAAAACTTGCAGACGTTTCAATCGCATCCGTATGAATACAAGGACATGACACTGGAAGAGATTAAAATGGGACGGATAGATTAATGGAAGCATGAATGTACTCACCATTTCATCTTGTCATTAGGGCCAGAGGAGAAGGTGGAGCTCTTCAGCACCTCCCCCATTTCTTCTCTGCAAAAACTAAAGTTGTTTATGGTCCACATGTAGGAAAACTTCACCACTTTGACCTTGGAAGAAACAAATATGCAGAAACTTCAGCCTTTTGAAGTACAGTAAAAATAAAAAATAGATGAATAAATGACTTTCAAAGGGTCTTTTTTTTAGGTTACAGTAATTTGAATTAAATAGATTCAGCATAAGACTTTTTGACATGTCTCAGTAGCATCTACGCACGTGTAAATAATCAAATTAATGAAGGCAGAATTCCATTTGGCTGCTTTTGTTTTAGGGTGCTAGTATTGTTCATGCTGGAACTGAGCCATTGTTAAATGTATTATTAACACCTGTGCCTTGGCAGGTCAAATTGCCTGCTGCAGAAAATGCCTATTAACAACTAAAAATACGAAGCTGGGAATGAAATATCAGTAGCGTGATATGATTTGAAACTATTGAATAAGCCATGTAAAACAGGATCAACTCCATCACCTTTGATGTACAGCGCATGATTGGATGAGTTTAGTTCTGCACATACCTGTGTGTAACACCAGCTCTCTGCCACAGGTCCACTTGACATCTCCCCAGGAGGAGGAGGGGTGGGAACCCGTGACATCACTGGCTTCGGAGTACCACTCACTTTCGTCCTTTAAGCACTAATCATTCAAGGAAACGAAAAGGTTACATTCATTCTGCATAAATTAGCAGCATAAATTACACAGAGGGAATACATTCACAATTCATCAGAATAAGCCTCGCAGAAAAACCTACTGGAAAAAATAATCCTTCAGATGATTTGAATCTGCTAATTATTACCAAATGTGAAGAAAAAATATAGTCCGCATTCTCACTGTATCCTGAAATCTTGTACTTCCATGAGAGCAACGTTTGGAGACATGTTTAACTCTGGGACAGGAGGAAACAATGCAAATCCCTTCTACTGCAGGTTCTAGGATGTACCGCGATTAGTATTGCAAATGTATCCATGCTACATAGGAAATTATATGCTCTGTGATTATGTAAAAAACAGTGCTTACTTCAATGTTGATTGGACAAACAAGACAGCGTCAGTCATTTCACAGTCCTAGACTATGCGGCCATGTATATGCCCAACATCCTCACGTCTGAAGCAAAGCTATTCTCAACCAACCAAACGACAGTGATGACATATTGCATACAAGGGTGTGTTTTGGCAATCAGGGTTGTCGAAAAAACAACAAGAAACTAAGTCAACTTTCATGTCCTTGAGAACAAAAAGTTAAATGCGTTAAAAAGGACAGGTTTGTCTTAAAATAATAGTCAGGTGCCCATGAAAACATTGAAAGAGTGCTTGCTTACTTTAACTTAGGCTCATAGCTAACGATGCTAACAGTGCAAACTACGACGATAGTGCCGACAGAGCCAACTGGGTTTACCTGAGGGGGAACCTCGGGGTGGGCGCTACGCTTCCACCACAGTTATCAGCTGTAACCGGCGTATGAGCGCAGTAGTGCAGTACAGCCGCGGTGAGCCAACTAGTGGAGCACGCTCACATGCACAAACATGCACTAAAAGCACGCTTGGCTGGCCCGGCTATGTCAACAAAGCAAAGAGAAGAGCTCGGACAACAACACACGCAGAGGCTTCATTCTCTTCAGGTAGACATTACTCCAAAATATCTTTACATAACAAATCGCTGTTTGCTGCAATATTAATGTTTAGAATGTCAAACACAGCTCCTTTCACAATGACACCCGAGGATACATTACGTTACATCATTTTGCAAAGATTTTGTACTGCTTGATTTAGATAATGAGCAGAGGAAGAAGGACACACATGGATTGCTTTCGTGGCAGTTTAACTGGAAACACACTGTAGAAAAACAACTTCTCATGTCACAACGTTAACACGTTGAGGTAAATTTGGTAGTTACTAGACAGTGATGCTCAGCAACCTCTGCATAGGCTGAGTAGTCAGTTACAGGCTAGGCTACAGCTAATAAGCCTGTGTGTATTCAGGGAAATTAAAAATGTTGATTTAGTCATAACAGCCATTTTTCATGTGTAAACGTGCCAATTTCATTTAACTTAAGCCGCCCAACTCTTAATCCAGCAGCATGCCAAAGTAAACACAAAATCTGCTGTGTTCAGACATGTGTGCTATAATAGCAGAATCGCAATTGCAAGTATTTCATGTCCCCTCATCCCTTGACACTAAGGGGACACATCCCCCTTTTGTGAGCACATTTCATTTCACCTTTCTCACAAAGTGAAGTTCATATCAAGGCCTGTAAACCCTCTGATCGAGCCATCTCAGAGTCACGTATTTCAATGGATCCTTAAAAAAAAAAAAAAGGTATAAACTTGGTCGGGAATTATTTTTTGGCAAACTGGCTAACGAGGATAGAGGCACAAACCTACAAATGTCAGACGATTGTATCTTTACTTCTGATTTATACTTCACACAGAGTTTTAACAGACTGTACAAAGACAAATGACTTGCATGATGCAAGAATCACAAAAAAAGTGTCTCTATGCCGAGAGGATATGAAGGCAGAGAAGTGATGAAACTACTGCTCTCTTCCCCAGAGTTCACTCACTGTCTGTACGAGTGTCCCGCCATGTGATTTACAATATACACTGCAGAATCCCTGGTTCTCAGAGCAACAATCAACTCGCATGTAATTACCGTTTGTTTTTGTGTGTGTGTGTGTGGGTGTACTTACTTTGCCACTTTACAGCTTTTTTTCCCCTTTGTTTACATAAAACATAACTTTCCCTCGTCTTTGTATTAAGTTACGATTCTGTTAGAGACTATAACTATTTAAATTGTTAGATAATGTGCAATTATAAACATGTAAGCAGGGACTACAACAAGGACATTTAGTGTCTTTGCATATAAATCCCATGAAGTATCGTCGTTGGAATGAATGAACAGACCTGACGCTAAACTTCTTTTGCAGTACACTGCAGCAACCGAACCACCTTTAGCTATAATCCTAACTATGACAACTAAATCATGCAGCCTCAGCAAGGAAATGAAACCTCCCAATCACCTCTTGAATGGTTGAAATGTACAGAGATGCAGTTGTTCTAAGTTATCACAGGATCCTTCATGGCCCCATCTTCATGTTCCACTCTAGGAAGACAAATAAACAAACATATATTAGACATAGCACATGTACTTGCTCAACCTTGTATCCACTAACAATACTGAAACATCTAACAATATACCAGACCTGTCATATCTATCTAGGGACATTAATTATCCAACTGACAATAAAGTGATATTCCTAGAAAATTGGAGCTTTCAAAATAGCCAATGCAACGTTGTTTTAAAAATGAAGGCAACAGTTAATGTTTAGATAGTTGATTGATAACAGACGTTGGTAGTGTAAGCTTTAGGGATGCTAGATGGTATGTGTTATGCTATATTGTATGCTCTAGGAAATGACTGTCGGCCTGTCTGTTAAATTAGCCAACTCAAGAATCACCTGCAACTTTGTTTGGCTAACAGATTAGCTGGAGTCGTGCAGCCTCGCCTTAAAGAACAACAGATATGATGCTATCCGAAGAAGCATCTAGCTAGTTCGCATCAACTTAGTTGAAAGTTATACGATCATATATTTACTTAACGTCACAGCTTACTTTAGCCTATACGCTATTTGAGATGCGCGCGGATGTGACTACAAACCATCGATATATCAGTAGAAAGCAACAGCTCAATGTTAGCGACACATCAGCTACATTGTCAACACACATTTCCAAAACAATCATTATTATCGCTTAACGATATCACTTCACTCGTCCTTTACAACGTTAGCTAGTTTAGCTAACGGTACCCAAGAATAGTAGCGTTGATTTGAAAAGGAAAACAATTACATTCTGCGAATCTGTCAGTTCTATGAGCAATACGTATTTGGCTAACCAAAGCTAACATGAATGTCCCCACTAGCTAGATTAATGTTAACTTCACTTTAGCCTTAACGTTGTACCGCAAATGCAGCTAGCACCGATCAGCTATCTTAGCACAAACCATGTTACCATTAAATCTGTCCACACATTACCAGGCTGACTTACGTTACTCATTGTTGCAACACAAACTAGCTGAGGACACCTTAAGTTGAATTGGTAATGTGCTGTTTACACCCCGCATCACCCGGTGTAAAACAAAGGGCCTCCACTGATTCCTGTGACAGGATGCTAACTAACCAAGCTAACTCAAACCCTCACGTTTTGGTACAATCTGCTGGTGGGAAAACAACAGCGGCTAACTAGCAGCTAGCCAAAGCTAATCTCTGCACTGACTGCTCACAAAAAGTTTAAAAAGACATAGTGGTGGCGTACCTTTCAATTTCATACTTCCATATATATCGAATAACGCATATAGCTTTGTGTCACAGTCGCTCCTTTCACCCTCCGTTACTTTAAACTCTTTTTCACTCAGTCTCTTCACAAGGTTTCTTTGTCTAATTTATATCTGTGCTAGCTTACATCTGTCTAGCTGCCTGGTAGCTTAACAGGCTAGAAAATATATTTATTGCGCATGCGCGGAATTTGGATAACATCCTGCTTCATCTCAAGTTATCATGGATGCCTGATCCAGACAATAAAATCAACAATAATAATAATAATAGGAAATCAACGGAGTACATTAATTTAAAAAGTGTATTATATATATACTGTGTATATATATATATATATATATATATATATATATATGTAAATAAATGATGATGATAAGATTGAGCTTACAAAAATATATTATTAGTATTTTAGTTTTGAGCTTCAAAATGAGAATGTTTTAGTTGAGATAGACATGGTTTGAGTCTGAATGAATTTAGTCATTCACATGTCACATGGGAAGAAATGCAAACAATGTGTTTGTGTGTGTGTCTGCCTATTACATGTCTATAATAGCCCATCTTCATAGGCTACACAGATAAAAGATGAATATAGAAAGGAGACTTGTTATAACGTAGCTCTTACGATAGATGAAACCCCAAACTGCAGCTCATACTCAGCCTTCCTTCACACAGTCTCTCCTGCTTCTGATGTTTCTCGTCTAGCAAACACAAAGCAGCTTGGGGTAAGCCACTCTCTGAAACAATAATGGCTCCCTGTAGGCCTGTGATAACTAATTCCCTTTCAGATGGATGGACACTGTTCTGCAGAATGAGCGATAAATGGGTCCTCTGCACCAATTATGGTTCAAGTACAATACAGTCTGTGAATTTGTGCGTTGTTTAGTGACGACAAACACCAAAACACCTATGTAAGTCAGTTTGGGTTTGGTCAAATATTTTGTAAACACAGCAGCAAAATGTCACATTTCGATACTGAATCCCACATCAAATGTCTTTGATATCATAGTGATGACACTCTGATCCATCATGAAGGGATGGATGATAAGATCACAGTTGAAGATACACAGGTAAGCTTATCAGGAATTTAAATCTGTTTAATTTAAGGGCAGGGAAACAGGCTGTGCTGAAATGTGTCTACAGACAATATCATCCAACAATTCAAAAATGGAAAAACTCCGGAATAATCATTTAATTGCGTTTATCTCCAATTCTATAAAAAGCGCTAGCATCGCGCACAGCATGAGCACCTTAATACGCAGCTTTTTTGTTTTCATTTCATATCGGTTTGATTGTCACAATTGTATTCTTGTTGCGTGTTTGCCTTCAGAATGAATAGCACCGGATGCCTGTTTTGTGTCTTTGTCCTGTTTCATATGTTCATCAAGCATAGCCCTCAGCATGAATATATACTTAAACAATGACAACATTCTCCTTCCTCCAACCCACAATAGTATCCTAATTAGGAGGCCCTCAAAATACTACTGATATTATTCCTGACAAGTATTCAATATATTCAGTGATGAAGACTGATACAGACAGAACTCATGAGCAGGAAGAAAAAGGCTGCAGTGACAAGACGAGCCCCGGTGACCTTATCAGAACAGATGTTGAGAGAAAAATGGAGTCTGACGTTAGTCACACCCTTTTTTTCCCAGTGTCTTGGAAATAAAGTCATAATACTGAACAAAGGAGATGCTACAAAAGCCCCAAATATTCCAATTTCATCTAATTTGATTAAATCTAAGCAATAACATATATGGTAATACCCAAATGTTGAGTAGATGGAAAGTGGAAAATAGCTTTTAGTTGATCATAGAAGAAAGTTCATTATTCACTATAGTTTCCAATGAAAAGCCCATACAAATGACATGTTTTGTTTTAAAGCAGTGAATGAGTATTTTGTGACGAAGTGTTGACAGTTTTTGTTGTATATTGTTACTTGCCTTGTCTACATCAACATCCAAACCAAGACTGCTTCCACCCACCTCTAAAGAGATACCTGTCTGTAAATGAATCTATTTAACATCTTACGCAAAACACAACTTGAATGATCTGCATTCTGCTATATTTCCTACTGTCAGTAGAGAAATGTATCCCTCTGTGATTGATCGACTGGTGACTTTTGAGATAAGAATGAATCGTATTATTGTGTATGTTTCATCACACAACAAAATAAGCCCTGAATTACAGCATGCACTGCAAGTCAAGTTGACATGTAGCAGTGGATTTTTCATTTGAATATGGCCCTGAAACATGATTAATCTAATCCCAACATGAGATGCCAATAGTTCTGTAGGCTGTCATTAACATTGTCTACTGTATCACCTTGAATCCCCTTGCCAAACCAATCACACTAGTGTGCGGAGAGTGTACGAGATATTTCATGAAAAATATGCAAAGTGGAAATCAGTCTTTCCTTTCACAGAGAGAATCTTTTTTTTCATCTCTGTGACATCCAGTGTGTCCTTTACCACATTTTAGTGTGCATCAGAACTTTGTGTTGACACAATCTGAAATGTATGTGACATATTCATCTTTGCCGTTCGGTTTCACAAAGAGCTAGACGTTGCTGAAAGGTTTAGCATTGGTCATTTGGGAGATGCCAGTTCTGTCATGGTTGTAGCTCTTTAGTGCTAAACATTCATATCCGTGGTGTTCATGCACTGTGAATTCCAGTCGGTGTTTGTCTGTTCTGCTGTGCTGTTTATCGCTGTTCATTCTAACTATAATCAGTTTTCCTTCTACATATTGCTTGTGTTACAGGGAGAAAAAAGAACATTTGGCAAACGGCACGTTGCCTCAGGGAAGCCCAGTCTTTACTATCATCTTCGTGAAATTGGGGTATTTTCGATGCACAACAAAGTACAGCAGCCGTGGCCGTTGAAGTCAAGCAGTACTTCTATGTCTTGCAGTACTGTCAATTTCACACTTGGGCTGCCAGTCAAGAGCAGAAGTGCTCATAATCCATAGAGATATTTCTGAATAACTTCACACATAATGAGCATGATCCAGTGTAATAACCCCCCCCCACACACACACACACCAATCATACGTACAGCTCTTTTAACGATAGTAACAATGTCACACTGATACAATAGTTAGACATCAACCTTTATAAAGTACGTTGATAATCCAGCCCTCAGGACACAAAATGTTACGTTTTTAAATAAATGCAAAATTCCGGAGTCTGACAGAAGGTCACTTGTATTCAGTAAATATAAGAAATTAATGAATTCTTGTTGCATGTCATCGACAAAGATCTGTGTTTTATTCAGATCATTGAAAAACTGAAACCCACAACACCACTCTCACTGCCCATACTTGAAATGTGCAGCTCCATTGATCCTGGGCACTGGACCGGGACTCCTAAAATGTAATCACTGAAAAAGCTTCGAAACTCTTTTTTTCCTCTTACGGCGAAAAGAGATTTTGCCTCATTCGGGGAGTTGTTTAGATTCTGCTAGCTGAGCTGTTCAGCGGACTGTAATACAGGTAGTATGATTTCCTATGCTGCTATATATTATACTGGGTTAAATAAAACAAGTGAAAGGTCTCTTCTGTAAAATGGATTTATGATAAGACTGTCTGTCTGTGTGCCCAATTAACTATTCTACACCTGTTTAAAAATGTGACAATACAAAACTTACAAGGTTTGTGACAAATATCTCGAGGGTTATAACACCGGAGCTTAACACCAGAGTTGGCAGGAAATGAACTGTGAGGGGTGTGCAGGAGGAGTAATGCGATACAATTACTTTTTTTTCCTTTTTACGTTTTCGTACATTCCTTCCCAACAATCTTTGAGTCTTTTCAAGATTTTGACAGGGCTGATTATGTGGCGTGAAGCTGATGCTTTGTTGCCAAGATGTCCATTATCAATTGTTTCTATCCTTCATAGCTCATTTACCACTTAGCAGTGGGAGAAATTGCACACGGCTCCATGTTATTAATAGTAGTGCTTTGTATGGAAATGAGACACTGATTTAACCAAAAAGTGCCATTTTTATTCTGCTGTGATTATCAAATAAACTATGACATTCTTGAAAAAATGTATTATAGTTATTCGTTTTGAGACGAACACATTTCAACCACATTTTGCATATTTCACTAGATTAAAGAGAACAAATAGAATGTGATGAATTGTCCATGATTCTTTGTGCATTTGACAAGTTGATCTTGTATTGAACCAGTTGCATGCTTGTTTGTGTGTCAGTGTAGCTCCAACAGCAGAATACAATTACATCTGGTGACTGGTGATTGAATTAGTGTAAATTAACAGCTCTGTTTCACACTTTAACTCCAAAACACTGAGAAGCAGTTCGACCATTGAATTAACTTTTGCGCTACTTTTCCAGTGAAATTTGTTTTTCTCGTAAAAGATAATTAATATATATGGTAAATGTTAATAAGAGTAGAGATGTAAATATAACTATATGTTAAAGTTTGAAATCAAAATGTTCTAAACTCAATTAAGACTGTACATCCTAACAATTTACTTAATACAATCTAATGAAAAAAGCTAAATCTATGTGGATTAAAAATGTCAAATTACATGTATGAAGTAATAAAGCAAGGAGAAGCTTGGATAACAACAAACACAGAGGGAGAGCAACTTCATCCTCTGTTCAAGAAGACATTTTTCCACTATATCTTTTGGTAGAAATGGGTTGTTTGCTGCTATATTAATGCTTTGAATATTGAATTTAGCAGCTTTCACATACAAATGTAGAGTAAGCAACAAAGATACTTATTTTAACCCAAAGCATGATCCTTTCCTAAACCTAACCGAGTTGTTTTGTTTCAATTCACAACATTAACTACATGTTATATTTCAATATAAGTAAGGAGCAATTTTTAATGCTCGTATCCTGGTCCTTCAGGTACTGACTTGAAGAGCTATCCATTGTGTATGTGCTTATTAAATATGTTAGATGTAACAATGATATTTAGCATTACATTATATTACAATTATTTGGAAGAAAAGCTAGATATGAAAAAGATCACAAAGTTGATGTCAAATCATTTGAAAAAGTGTCTTTGACTGCTTTTTAAAATATTTGCATCTACAGTAACCGGGGCAAAATGAGGATGTTACAACTGAGTGTGCACCGCTATACAGTCAGCATCTCGTATTTGTAAACA